CTCCTCCTCCTCCTCCTCCTCCTCCTCCTCTTCTTCTTCTCATCATCATGGCAGGTGATTGAAGCCACAACAGGATGTAGGCGAGAGATAGCAGGACAGGGATGGAGAGACGGCGGCAGCGGCGGCCGTCGAGGCTATACAACCTGAGCCCTCATAAAAGTTAACTCTGCCCTTTTAAAGTCCGGCGTAGACCATTGTCAACTGATATAGGGCAGGCTGTAGCGTGTGCAAGTATCACAGGCTACTGCTTTAAAGTGGCGACACTGAAGGCGGCACAGGGTAAAGAGCATAAGTGTGGTAAAGAAGAGTCCTTCACCTGTGGGGCATGGTTACTGACAAAGTCGAGCATCACTAAGTAAGTGCTGCACTGGACAGGTACTGTTTTTTCAGTGAGCGTACACTAGCGATGCTTGGGGTAGCATGGCGACACTTTCTCTGTCCAGCCCTTCACCTTAGCCCTACGAGCACACATGGCACGCTGATTGCGCTATAAGAGTGTGAACGCACAGCATGCAGCACACGATCAAGAAGGGGTGGGGGCAGCAGGCAAGTTCGGTCCCCTCGCTCTCCTTTCATCGCGTGCTGGGTTGTGGATCATACAGTCCATTCCATTGACTTGTATTTCTGTCGCATAGTAGTCCAGCGGGGCGTGATAACGTCGTAGGCTGTGTGGTATCCATCCGTCGTTGTGGTCGAGTTGTAGCTCTCGCTGGAGTTGGATCTCGTCGGTAGAGTCCCATTGGAGCCCTTCAAACCCCTGAAGGTCGGTCCTGTCGGTGATGGTTTGACGCGTGTGATTTTTGGGGGCCCAGGGAGGAGCAGGGGCTTTGCGGATGCGTCGGCGTGGCACGGGGACCGAGGTACCCACGAAAATCCAAGGAAACCTTACCCAGGCCTCGTGAAACATGGATTGTGCAAGCACCTCGCAAAGCCCCCGCGGGTATTGTTTGGCAGCTGCTGTGCGCCAGTTGCCAAGCTCATCTTCACCTTCTAGTGCCATATGTCCCCTGGGATGGCAGCAGAGAGAACCCCCCCGCCCGGCCTCTAGTGCCTCTCCAAGCCCAGGAGCGTGAACAGCCATCAAAACAGTGGGTTTGCGAGAGGGGGCCCCGAAAGCACATTGGTGAATGACACGCTCGTTCACTTGGGGTTGTGCGCACAGCCGTTTGACTTCGTCCAGGTACCAGGAGCTGGGGGCTTCAGGGGGATCCCAGGGCTCGGCAGGGTGTTCCATGATAAACGGAACTCCCAGTCGCCAACAAATGGTGCCTAGCTCAATGCACGTCCTGAGAAGCTTGCTTCCGAGGGTAACTTGTTGCCTCTCTCTGCTGTTGATGTGGGGAACCCCCCAGAGCTGGTCCCGAAGCCTCAGCGGCCTCGGAGGTCTCGTAGTCACCGAGCCGTCAGCACGCGGGGCAGGGGGTCTAAATCGCGCCACTGACCATGTCTCACATGGTGGACCACATACGATTGCTGCGATGTATCCTGCTTTGAGCAGACGGATCCACAGCCTGACAGATTCAACTGTGGTTAAGTCTCCATTGATGGGGTCATTAATAACATCAATACTAAGTATGAAAAGCTTGGCAGGAAACCTAGACACAAAAAACATGTCAAAACAGTCTTGAATGTCCCCTTGCCTCCTCACCCCTGAGAACAGGTGCAGCACAAACATATGCCTTCGCGTGGGGGTACGAGTGATTTTGAAGACAGGGGGGGGGGGGGGCTCGCTATGAGAACGGCGGGTGGAAGGGGTATTTCATCAACTGGTTGCCCTGTGCCTCGCACTCCAATTGGAGCCATGATAACCTTGTGCGGTGGCGCTTGAGCAAAGTGATCCTGGTGCCCAGCTCTTCTATTGCTGGCAGACTTTGTTTTTTATTAATGTTAAATTGTTCGTTATTTCTTCAGGATCCGCTCGCCCCCCTGGCTATCCAGACTCTGAGACACAACTTGGCCCGATTAAGGTGTTCATGAAGCCTTCCCGGAGTGTGAAACTGGGCACAGCAGACAAGACAAATGGTGCCCACCACAAAGGTTTTGGGCGCTGTGGGAGGCGGATGAAACTTGCCGACGTGGGCCTTGTAGTCGCGAGCAGCCTCGAATGATGCGGAGCAAGCCTGGCAGAAGTACACTGGGGCCTGAGGCTTGACTATGGCCATGGGGGTGTCCCTCACATGAGCCTCAATGCGCCTTCGCCAGGCGTCGAGGTGATAACGATCGGCCCAATGGGCAACTGCTTTCAGGGCCACGGTTTTAATAGTAGACGCAGAAGCCTTGGGGGAACTCCTAACTGCTGCCAGCCAAGTGCGTAGGCTGTTGTCCGATGGCCGCTTGGAGGGATCAAGATAAGAGGCAAGCCACTGGAAATCACTGACCAACTGAGCCACCCATCCTATTGGGGGGTTGGAAAGGTACTGCAAAGCAGCGCAAAGTAGTGGAGGAGCATGTTCCACCAGTCGTGTCAGAAATCGTAACCTGTTGATGCGCAAGATGACGTGATATGGCAGCCGGTCCGTGTGCTGCATGATGTCGTGGTAGGCGTCATGCTGCTCGGCGTTGCTGGCTCTCGGCTTGCCTAACGCCGCCCTGTAGATTCGCTCGTGCGCAACTCGTAGCTTAGTGGTTAGCCCCTTTGTGAGATCTAGCCACGTACAACAGCTATAGAATAGAATGCTGCTGGACAAAGCCTCTGCCCAGAGAATCTTGGATTTGAGAGGTAGCTGGGCCCTAGGAGCGATGGTTTTTCTAATGGGGGGAAGGGTTGCTCCTGATGATTGGGCCCTGGTGGTGATTTCAGTGGCCATGCTGCCATTGGCAGACAAGTAGGACCCCAGAACTCGATGATGCGCGACTATGTCAGCGCTGAACCCCCAGCGCTTGAGTTCAATCACTGTGTATGGTATGCCGTCTTTGTCTACGTATGCAGCTTTGGACCCGGGGCCACGAAAGGCAAGCATCACCTTGGTTTTGGTGGGGTTGGGCCGAAATCCAAACTCAAAACACGTGGTGACAACTGCTTCGAGTACACTGATGGCAACCTCCATGAGGTAAGCTGCACGCTTGGAGATGAAACTTTGGGTGAGGTCATCGACGAAGGAGACTCCCATGTCCTGCTGATACATGTCACTGGCACTCGCGAATGAGAGCTCTCCAGGTGGTGGTGGACCAAGCTCCGATTCAATGCCTCCAGGAAGCCTTACTTTATCTTCAATGGTTTGATGAACACGCGCGAAAACCACGTTGAAGACATCTGTTGCTGGAACCGATGCTGGTCTGGACCCTAGCCTGGGTGCAACAAACTGCGAAGCTCCTGATACCCTCCAGAAGTTGCCCCTCTGTGCGTCCCTCACAACAGCAAGTAAGTGGGCATTGTCCACGTTTTGATCGAAGATGGGTATGTTATTTAATTGTGCTTTTACTCCTTCAAGCAGAACTGGGGGGATTGGCATGGTCTCTAGCGCCTCCTCAAGCTCATTCTCAGTTCCTGGTAGTTTCAGGGCTAGCTGACGGATAGTAGTGTAGAAGGCCGAAACGAGGTCCAGTAGGACCACTCCCCAGGAAGCTTTTCTAACCTCGGTTGCCTGCCAAAGCATTCTGGCTGCGTGGACTGCCATGTCACAGCCTCTGCCTTCAAGCCCTCCCATCTGAATCTTGAGAGTGCTTGCATACAGAAAATCTAATGCTAATCGCCGAATATGCTTGTGACGAGGAGAGCACAGGCCAGCAGCCACCAAGATGCTTCTCTTTGTCGCTGCTAGGGTGGGATCCCCCGATCCTTTCCAGAAATGCCCTAACCGCCCTCCTTTGAAGGAGATAGGCTCGCGAGCAAGCACAGATGTTTTGACGAGCACAGGGGCGATCAGACGTGCAAGAGCCTGCGGAGCAACTCGCCCAAAGTCCCCACGAAATAAATCGGCACCAGGAACCCGACCACTTTTGAGACGGCCAAGAAGCTGCTCAGTCTCATATAGGGTCGGGACAACAAACGGATCGCGCGGAGCGCTAGGATCTAATAAGGGGGGTGAGGTGTTGTATTCCAGGGTGAGGTGATCGACATCAACAGAGCGCCCAGATTCTACAGTGGCAAAATGCCCCTGGATGTGTTCCGATACCTCCGAGTCTTCTAAGAGTACTGTGCCGTCCGGTTTTTTGAGCATAGGAAGCTGCGGCGGGCCCTGCTTGGGCCTGTCCCCACGACCACCGCACTTGAGCAGTGTTTTAACGCGTTGCCATTCTTGAGTGCTCTGCCGATGATCGAGGGAAATCTTTAGCTCATCAGCTCTGGCATTCAGGAAATTGACCCTGTCCTTCTCAACCAGATTGCACAAAACGGCATCAGAGGAGATGCAAAACTGACGAAGGCAAACAGCAAACTGGAAAGCAGAGGACCCAGCTCTGAGCCTCTCAGAGGCCCAACCATGAAGCTGCCGAAACAAACTGCCCCACTGGTTGTCATCGGCGGAGCCGCTTAAGGTAGCAAACTTCCCAAATCGAATGCCGTAGGCCAGAGGTGAGAGCATACGTTGTGCTTCCGGTTCTTCACTGCCCTGAGTACGAGCCAAGGCTTTTGCAATCCCTCGCCGTAGTCGGACCAGGTCCAGGGTGGGCTGGTTGATGTACGGCTGGCGCGCTCTCACGGACTTGATGTGAAAGGCAAGCTGCGCCGCCTCGTGGATGTCGCGAGCCACTCCTGCAGCATGCTCGTTTAGTTCTACTTCCCAGGACCTGAGCGGAATCTCCTGAAGGAGGGATGTAAAGGCGGCCTGGTCCTCGGGATCCCGAAGTCTGTTTTTTATCGCACGGTTTAAACTTGCTTTTGGGGAAGGATGTCTTGTTTGTCCAAGCGAAGTTGGCTAAAAGGGGGAGGTGGTCAGGGCCCTTGAGGCCTGTCTGAAAATCAAAACAGACTTCCGTGCTTTGACACGCAGCATGGAAGGCTTCCGAGCCGATGATATAATCTATACGATGTAATTCACCATCATGAGTGCTAAAAGTGTGATCGCCAGGCTGTGCCATAAAGGTGCTAATGACTCTGAGTTCTGCCTCAGCACAGATGCGATGCAGCATTTCTCCAGGGAGATCTTGTTCCTGGCAGAAGCCTACTTGACCAACTGCGGATGAGGTGATAGATCCTAGCCTTGCGTTGGCGTCAATCAAAAAAATGTCTGGCTGATGCTTTTCAAAACGCTTCTCAATGTCATCCCAGAAAGCTCTAATAACGTGCTTGCCGCAACGAATGCGAGGGGCATGAGCAACGCAAACAGTGATAGATAATCCTGGAGCTCTGATCATGACTCGCATAAAGCGTGGGGTAGAGTCGTAAACGCGAAAGTGCCCCCTCTGAAAAAAAAGAAATTGTGGCCGTTCTTGCGGCCATAGGGTACATCTAAACTAGCCCAAAGTTCTACTCCGAGTCCCCCTTCTTCGCTCTCGTCCGAGCCCAGTCCTGACGATAGAACGTGAAAGCCTTCGCAGGGCCTGATCCCCTTTGGGTTTCGTGTTTCCTGAAGTCCAGCCAGCAAAACCCCCATGTCCTGGAGCTGGAGCCGGACGATCTCAGAACGCATGCGACGCCGACGGCCGAGGCACCCATACGCGGCCCTCTGCGCAAGGGACTTGACATTGTATTGAGCCACCTTCATGGAGTGGGTGATGGTGGTCTTCTTAACCATGGGGGCTGCAAAGGGGGGATCCTGGATGAATTCAGGTTTGGCCTGGGGGGCAACGGGGACCCATTCGAAACCTTGATGGAAGGAAGGGTAGGCGTTTTTCTCATCCCCCGAAGCATGCTTTAGCCATTCCCAGGCTCGTGTCCTGGAGTATAATGTGACATCGGCCAGCTCGTTAGGAAAGAAGGATGGGGTCAAGAGCTCCTTGGACGTCCAAACAGCAAGTCGATCCGCAAGAGAGTTCCATGGATGGCCATCATGACCTTTGACATGGGCGATCGTGAGCGCCCTTCCCTTGCTGGCAATGTCCCACAACACTCTTGTTAGCAAAGGGAGCGGACTGCAGTCGGTAGGTCGTTGTCCGTCGAGTAGCTGTACCACATTTAGTGAATCTGTGTGGATAGATGCCTCTCGCACCGCCGTGTCAGCAATGATGCATATGAGAGCCCATACCACCCCGACGAACTCTGCATCCGTGCTGGTCGCATGTAGTTCGGGTAGTGCTGTCCTGCAGGTTTCGGCAACCATACCCGTGATATAACCTTGATATGATATGTCTGCTGCATCTTCCCCTAAGACCACTAGTCCCCAAGCAGCAGTCGACAGCTCCTGATTTGTTACCGAGCCATATGTGTAGTAGTGCTTGGCAAGCCATGTGGATTGCTTGTGGGGACATAACTGTAGCGCTACCCTGACATTGTCAGGTACATGCTGTTGTAGTAGTTCTGTTATCCATGTTAGGTCGCCGTGCGTGGTTATGATGTTAAGCATGTCAGGTAATATGTCCATTGGACATGTGCACACTTGCATGTCGACCATGTCGGTGCGAGGAGAGCCGAACTGAGCAGCAGGAAGGGGAGTAGGATTATGACTGAGAGCTGATCCTACGCTGATGCTGTGCTGAGATGCGGGAAAGAGACACGGAAGCTTACAATAATGGCTAGGAGGAAAGAGGGGTATACGCATGCCTGTGCTCGTGCAGATCGTGTGGAGCGGTATGCATACACAGCGCGCCAAGGCGCGCCGATCTGCATGCACGTGCTGTAAACGAGCATGCGAGATGTGCGGAAACTGAACTGATGCCTGAAGCCCTAGAAGTGACTGCTGTATTCTGAACTCTGGCGTGTGAATTATTCGCGCACAGGTGAAAAGTGGAGGTTCTGAGCCTCCTATGCTGAAGGTGAAAACTCCATGCATCACGAACTCTGCCATTTGATGAAGTAACAAACCCGGTATGCTTCGATCAAGAAAAAGTTTCAGGGCAGTGTTCTGAGCTGGAGATCGGAGGCGAGCACATGCGAGCCTCGAACGTCGTGCGTATCGCGGGCAGGCCTGGACCGAACTAGATGAACTCAAAGCTCTCGTAGTGATCTCCCATCCTCCACTCCCCCAAACCCTATCCCAAGTTCGGAGTAGTCTCGGATCTGCTGCAGATGCGACCAGCTGAGCTCGGGCCTTCTCACGTGTGGAGAGAGGCCCACTAGGATTCATGAAAGCGCGCCCAGAGTTTGCTTCAGAGCATAGCCAGATGCAACTGAAACGATTAATTGCTGGTATTAAGAAGGTAATCCCTTCACCTGTCGAGTAAATTGCGTTGCCGCCGCTGTTAAATTTGAGACAGAGGCTAGAGGGTGGAAATACGCTATCAGATGAGGGTGGCAGAAGCAAAGATGTGGCACATACGCTCGCAAGCAGACTTATAGCACAAGATGACCCAAGACAAGTGCAAGCCTGTTCCAAGAGCAATGCTAAACTCTGGTTGCTAAATGCTGGCTGGCTGGAGACGCTGCGTAGATTACCCGACACTGCGTGCTCAACAGCACTTGATACTAATCCCAAGCGGTTTTTTGTTGACTCTCTAGGTCTGGCCAGGGACCCAAAATTGTACCCAGGAGTGTGATTAGGGGGGGACTGAAGACCAGGTGAGTCAGCATCAAAAAACAAGATTGAGTTAGAGCCCCATCTGATGGGCCTGTGAATTCTTGCCTGCGGCTTCACTCCTACTGGTCGTAGAGCCTGCTCTCCTTCTTGGGCGGGCTCGACGTCTCTGGGTCGACCGGGCGCTCCCCTGAGCGCTGCCTGACCCTGTTCTCCTGCGACTGCTGGGTGGCGCCGCTCAGGTCGATGAGTGGGACCGCGCCAAACCCTCGATGCGATGGTGAAGTGACTGTGTCCGGCCCTTTCAGATACGGATCCCCCTGCGTCTCGACTGGCTGGGTCGGTGGGATTCCTTCTTCTGGCACTGGAACTTCTTCGGGATGGTGAGCGAAGGCCATAGCTGACATCGGTGTCTTCTGAGCTGGCGGCACTGACGATGGCGTGCGAGCTGGGATACTCTCTCCAGCTTGGGCTGCACCGTATGATGTCGGCGGCGACTTGGGCACCCTGCCATGTGATGGCGGCGTAGCACTGATCGGCGTGGCTGTGCCCGTGACCTCCTCGTTCTTCGGCTCTGGTGGGGCTGGCGGGAATGTTGCCGAAGAATCCCCACCTGCCCGAAAAACTGTCTGCGGCGAAGCTTGTTGATTCGGCTGCTGCTGCATCATCATGTAACTCATGCGAGTGAGGGTGTCATCTACGACGGCCTGCTTGTTGATCATGCCCTGCACTACTGACATGAGCTGGTTCATCAGCTGACTGATACTGCTCTGGTCACTATTGACTGGCGGAGGCGGTGCTGTCGATCCATTTGTCCAGCCATGTACTGGATCCCACACTGCAGGCGCTGACGGCGATCCTGTCCACCACTGCGGCGGCGGCGGTGGGGCCGATCCTTTGCCTGCTCCCTTGGCGGTGATATCAGGGGCAGGCGCGGCCATGTGTACGTCTGCAGCAACGTGGTCTGGACGTCCTCCTATGGGTCCATGATGAATGTCTCCATGACTGTGAACTTCTTCGTCGTCACTGGAGTCCATCTCATTCAGCTCTGCGATAACTTGCTTTATCTTCCCGAGCTCCTCTTCAATCTCAGCCTCTTCTGCACTGAGGTTCTTCTGACGTTCTCTGATATTTTTTAGTTTGTCGGTCTGGATGGTCTTCATATTGGTCATGTAGAGCAGCTGCTTGCCGACTTTGAAACACTGTGAGTCCATCAACTTACATATGGAAAGCTCGAAGAGCGTGCCGTCACAATTTCGGTTGGCACCCTTTGCTGCTATGCATATCTTGGCCAATGATTCCATCTTTTTTCGTAATGTGATCCTGAAATCTCTGCGTTCTTTGAGCTGCTGCGGAGGCATCTGGTACCATGTCGCATCATGCGTGTCTGCACGAGAAGCTGGAACGATGCGTGATATAAACTTCTGGATCTCTTGATCGTTGATGTCATGATCTGCTGTGGCACGGGGACGGCTGGGTGGACGAGCCTTAGGATATGTCCACTGTCCTGTGCCCTGTCTGTAATTATTGTCGTAGTGCATGCCACACCTGCACGTCCAATGATGTCCTTTGACTTGTCGATAGCACGATACACAACTCCATGTTTGACCTGGCTTTGGCCCTTGGGACCTTCCACCTGGCATGTTTGGCTGTTGATAAGAATGATGATCTTCGAGAATATTCTTTGCTTTCACGATAGCCAACAACAGACGAGCTCTTCCTCTGACAGCACGACGGCGCTTTTGCCAGGAGGGCCCCAAGGTGTCTCCTGTGGGTCGCGCCGTGTCGCGCGCGTCTCCAGTCAGCGGCAAACTGTGCCGCCCAGGAGCGCGACGCGTGAGCCTCGGTCGCTTGCCAAAATCAAAATGGCCTTGCGCCCAATGGCTTCTCCTCCTCCTCCTC